TAACAACTCAAACGTAACCGTTATCTGATGTAATTGTTTGTAGAAGTGGAATGCTATCAATGGCCTTGACTAGATTCAACGCTAAATCATGACGTCAATAATACCGACAGTATGATTTCGCAATTTACCGGAAGTTATTATTGATGCACACACACACACACACACACACACACACACACACACAAGCACACACACAGAGTATTTAGCGTACACATGTGAGATGGGATCGCACTTATATAACGAATTGAAAATCCAACGGAAAATTCTTGTGGATGTAAGTAGATAGCTATCATATCAACTATTAACTATTGATTGTTGATATAAAGTCATTTCAATTCGACAGTTTCGAAACACCACTAGATCCTGTATCAACAAGTCTTTTTAGTGTATAGTTTTACAGCTTAGAGATAGGCAAATGATCAGTACCGGCTACGGCTCCCAAATTTCTCTGAATTAATATGCACCACGTAGTGTCATATTTTCCCTGTATAATTGCGTGGAAACATCGTTACTACACAATCTGTTATTTCATGTTTTCACTGTATATGATGATAATAGTTCCGTGTAACAAACGTGTGGTAATGATAAGCTTTTACCGTGAGATTTTTCACTTTAATTATTCGTTGAAACACAGTGTGTGCTGATGATTACATTGCTAAATATAATAATTATATCACTTTTGGTGCATTAAGCCACAGATCACATTGTATTAATGAAACAAGATGGAAATGGGGATTTCACGATAAATATCGATTTCTTCTTGTTCCTATAAACACAGTGTGGCCAGCTGAAGACATTTCCATTAATTGTTAGTAAGATGAAATTTCTATTATATGAACCATTATCCATTCTAAAGTGTAGTTTAAAACATGGTCACATATTTTCTGGTAGCAAGAAGATACATTCTCAGTCACAGTTAAAACGCTATTTCAAAAAGTCTTAAAGTCATTTCAATAGATCAATATCTGCTTTGATTTCAAGAAATAACCATAAAGAGTAGGAATACTTACGTCCTAATACAGCAAGCATCAACTGGGGCCACTTCACCATCTTGTCTCTCCTTCTTAGCAATGTCCATGTGTAGTCATGATAAAAATATTCACTCCTATATGTCTATCGATATAGCGAACTTACGACCCGGATTTTACACACAGTATCTAATAATCACTTCTTATATATTATTCAAGTCATCGTTCCGGTTCTATGGTTCGTAAATGCTTAAGAACAAAACCTCTGACTAAACCATACCTAAATTCACTAATGGGCATCCACTAGATCTTGCTTTTATGCAATTTAATATCTAGTGTGTATTATTTTGATATCAAGAATGGATAATCATATATAAAGTTCGGACATATCAATCTTTTGAAGAGGTTGACGGTGCACCATAATGAAAGATCACAGATAACAAATGAGGACGTCATAAATGATAATAACAATACAGACCAGTATGAAATCTTAAAATAAATGTTTTATTTCTACGCTTTAATGTGTTGCTGTGTATATATCCGTAGAGCCTAGAAAAAAAGAGCAGAGTTCAGATAATGTCACTATTATCTTTATACAAAGGAAAATCTTAAATGATAGATTGATTATCAAATGGGATTTTCTGTGCTAACGTAGACATATAAAGTGCTGAGTGTAACGCTCCTTCTGTTAATCTTCGATTGACGTTGAATATGTTACCTAAATGTGAGACATATATGTACTCCATATATGGGAACGTAGTTGGCAATCAGATAAGATTGGAAAGCCAATGCATTAAAAATGTAGGGTAATCAGTATATTGATTAACAACTGAAAATCGTTCATATTGAAAATTGAGTTTGTCTTAAATAGCTGACGATAATTTGGAAATTCTGAATTACAGATACGATCCTGTAGTCTAGCTGTGATGAGCTGAAAAGTCATATCTATTTACATTGTTTATGCTTTATCTGTTTGTTTTGTATGCTGTTGTTTTTAACTTTCATTTGATAATTATATTGCATATATTTCTCAACATTATTGATTAATTAAAGTGTGCGAATGAAAACCATTTTTGCTATCATTACAAAATTTCAATATCTGTTATATCTTAAAGCTATATGGAAACAGTTCAGTAGATGAATGATACAACAATAAGAGGGTTTTTATCCAATATCGCACTTATCACAACTGAGAGACAAGTCTTAAATGATTTTACTACTTTAATATGTTTTAAAGATTGTTCAATCACACAAATTATTTAAACTATGTTAAGTCTTTGGCATTTACCTCCTGGCACTCGATACAGTTGAATGAATTATTTGACTAGACAGTATCGAATCTAAATCTGTGCAGAGATAAGAAGTTAAATGCGTCTTGTGTACAACAAGATGTCTGAATCGAAGTCTCTCTCTTTTGATTTGCATTATTTTTTGTTTTAAAAGTCAGCTTTCTCTGAAATGCAATGAAAACATGAGAATTTGTAAAGTAAATCCCGGCGGTCACATTCTGATTGCTTCAAAACAAATTTTTACTCAATTTTCCAACGTGGGATTGTAGTTATCCTTCTTATTAACTGGCGAATATGAGAATAACTTTGCACTGACTTTATATGAATAAGAGAAATAAGAGGAACTGATCTACAATAAAAGTATATGTAGCTTATCTGTTTCCCACGGTTTTGGCTGTTATCTCTCTTTGATTCGGTTTTTAAAAAGTGTCTACTTTATTGCTTGCAAAATCAAATTTCATTTTGCCTGTAAAGCCATAAACGTAAAGGATATAGACCAGCCATATCTTTATAACTAACCACAAAAAGCTTCAGATAGGTAATATCATGTTTACGTGGGCAGACAATGCATCCCAGCTGATGCAAATAAAACATCAAAAGCCAGTTAGTTTCCAGCCTTTTAAAAACATTCTAACGTCTCTATTTTTCTCTTCATATGAGGAATATATTATTATTTTCCTGTCTTTAGAAATATTTCTCATAACGCCAGCTAGAAATCTGTGTACAGGTGTCGACATTATGCACATAAATCTGTAGATGTTATCTATAAGTCTGGAAGCATGCATAAAGTCACGGAATTGATTGCATGCGGGGATACGCATGTACAGATACTCGAGAAATCAAAGTTCACTTCGCTAATAAAACTCTTTTCTTCGTCCTCTGAGAACAATTCAATATGATTCAACTTCCTTAATTTAAGGAAACAATTGTTTGTGCAAAAGACACACAAGTGAATAACACATTTTAATGACTTAGAGTTATATACAGTAGAGTTAAACAATAAATTAAATGAACAGCTGTTTCGTCCTTCTAGCACTCGTCAGTATAGTAAGGGCCTCAATTTTGAAGGCTAGGAGGCGAATGAGGAAAAATCAAAGTAATCGAAAGAAAAGTAAAAATGTAGTTCTCAGATGTGCTATAGCCACATAATTAAATAAGTAATTATTGTGCATATAGGACAATTTCAGAACAGTGTCAAGTACATGTGTATATTCTGAACCGTGCCACTATTCGAATGAATTAAAACATGGCATCAGGTTACGGGATACCTCGCAGACTTAAAGTCAGACTATGTCATATGAATCGATAAACGTTTTAAATGTATACATTAAATTTTGCCGTATACTTTCACAATACAACATAAAGATATTTCCTATTGTTGGTGAATTTTCGTTATTCACGAGGGACAGAGTAATATCTATAGCTACAAAGTTGATATACCTCCTGTGATGCTGTAAAGGAGGATCATCACATCTAGGTTCACCGAAAATGAGGACAGGAAGAAACCAGTTCTGACAATCACAGCACCACTCCGGCCACTCGCCGACTGCCGAACATGTTGACCAAAAAACTTACTACAGGTCCTAGTATATCACAGATTTAAGTTGTTTTTGATAATTTATTTCTGTTTTGAACTTTGCAAATAATATTGCGCAAAAAAGTAGTGCGCTGTAATATGCCTATTGTCAGATTTCTTAAAGTTGTAGATAATTCAGTATTTACCTCTCGCTGTAGAATTTGATCTACGAATGATTTGTCTTCGGTCGAAAACGTTTGCTCGTCCTTATAAATATATTGCAAAAGATATAATTTCATAAACTTGTTTCTCATTATCAAAATTATCTTCCTTAGTAAGATCGAACTTCGTGAATAAAAACAACTAGCTTTTCAGTATTTCAGTACCATGCTCTTCAGCACTACCAGGTTCATAACTCTCGGCTATATCCAATCAGGTCCAAGGGAGAGAAATGTGATGTTGACAGGCACCCTTAAGTGGAAAAAAACTATCAATGAATAAAATACGTAAGCCTGGTCAAATGTTTCATTGATGCATTACCTATGTTTCTGAGATTTGAATATGATCCTATTGATATTTAGGTATTTTCTATTGTTTTTTACAGTGCAGACACTCATACTTTTCATTAATCATATGACAGTGGTTGTTGCGCTAGTTGTGTCTTGAATTATTTGTTTAATCACAAGATAGAGGGATGATTGTTAACATTTTAATCAACTGAAAACATTATCAATCCGCCATAAAAAAGCACACAAAAACAAAAGTTTTCAATGATTTCGCTTTTATATGTTACTTTTAGACATTTTGCTAGCATATATGCAAATAATAAGGTTATGTCCAAAGTTGGTTTGTACATGTTTATGTAATTAATAAAAAAAATAAAAATAAAAAAGACCACCCTCATTATATATAGTGATCCGCTTGATAAAACAATTCTATTCAAAACATTTGCAAGACACAGAAATATTCACCAAGATTAATTCATCTTACAATTGGTTGTAACTATTCAGGACAGTAATATTTAAGTCTTGCCAGACTAACAGAGAAATAATATATCTTTATATATTATCCATGCAAAAATGTTTCAAATATTTTACTCGCATGAAGGGACCTTCTTAATGATAGCTATAGCTAATGATCAGTCTACGTTTTTTCTCAGTTCCGGTATCGAGTATATAAATGGACTGCGTTTTGCAGATATTCGTTTTCATATTGTTTTGGCCATCTTCAAGCCGAAGACGTAATGGAATCAATGCTCCTACTTTTTTCCAAGTCCGAAATCCGTCTGAGTGGAAGACAAATTAAGCCTCCCAGTCCCAGAGTGACGCCACCAAAGTAAAAAGTTATGTTGTAATTGCCACTTATATCAGACAGTGCTCCTGTAAAAGAAACCAAACTCCTATAAAAAAAATATGGATACCAGTTGTATTTATTTGTTTCAAATTACATATTTTTTCTCTTCAGAACATTCTACGGGAGGATAGATAATTGGATAGTAATTCGCATGTAAAAAAAAAACCCTCAAGTAAACTTGTAACAAACATTCACGCCCTCTCCAATATATATATTAGTTGATATGCAACGAATTAAATGCCTGTGTACTTTTAATGCTAGGTAATCGAATTATTTACCAGCATCAATTTTACTACAGATAAGTCATTGTTAAACCAACCAAATTGCAATTTTCAGCTTTCACGTTTTATTGAGAGATGTCTATCACCATTCACAAATATTATCACACACCATGCGAGTGACACACGTATGTGAATCACAAATTGTATTCGGAATTTCATTCGAGTTGCCGATGGCATAAGTCATTCCTTAAAGTTCACAAAAAGTAACTTAAAAATAACTTAACCAACTCGTGTGTTTCTAGATTTATACACAACTCTAGGGTCAGGCATAATGGAAAAGACACTGGCTTTCTCAATACTGATTACACAGACAATTTCTTGAACAATATTTTACACTGACCACTATAAATTTGAAAGGCAGACATATTAAAATATAACATGATAATAAAATCAACAGATAAATAAGATAAATAAAAGTAATTAAATGAATAATGAAAAAGAGAGAGGAAAAAATGCAATCTATATTCATTTACAACTTCTGCATATTTTCTATTTTCCAAAAGGCACATGGATCTGTTTCTATCAGTTGAGGCGTATCATAATTCGTCAGTGCAATGAAGTCGCCTGTGTCGCCCCTTTATTCAATAAAATTAACTCATTGTATGTGGTACCGAAGAACCTTAACGTACCAATGTCTTCTTACTTAACTTAAAAGACACCAATTCACGAAGAATATAAAGAAAACAGCAAACCTGCTATGGGCGCTCCAAGAAATGTGGACAATCCCATACTCAATCCAACTAGTCCGAAGGAACTAGTAAGTCGATGTACTCCCAACAGTTCTGCCATCAGTACACTCCGCAAGCATATAAAGGTCGCTGCAAAGTATCAATGAATCAATAACAAAAACACACGGACTTATAATTTGGTTGGTTTTGCATTAGTTGTTTTTTTGTTTATTGACAAATACATATACGTCACAGAACAAATATGTCCTCACCTAGGAGAGCTCTCCTTTCCGCGCACATCTCTTATTTTCACACTGACAGTGTTTAATCCTACATGTACATATAAATATAGCTAAGTTCTACAAACACTGTAAATTGTTTATTCATTTCAGGTTCAATGACCTTTTATTGAATGAAAACTTAACTTTTATTCTCACATAGTTTTCATTCAAATATGTTTATAACCCCTGATAATGCATGATTTCACTGTAGTTAACAACTTCTGGGAAATGTTTCATTTTAAGTTCTAAAAGCTCTTCAGGGCTTATGAGTCATGGTCTTTATATACAATATATTTTGAAGTTGATAATGTAACAACAGATAGTTTGGTTATGTATAAAAATGCCCAAATGGAATAGAAAAATACTCGTTGTACGACCGTATGTTTTGTGATAGGAATATTCACGACTTTTCTACCATTTCGAAAGGGTCTTGCAGAGAAAATAAGATGCTTTGTACAATAAGCTAGATGTTGTTATTTTTTCATCATCAATATGAATTCCTGCACCATTCATTCGCAAGGGTTGACGGACAGTTTTTCCGTGTAATTATGGTTCGGTATCTATTTCAGTAGAGTTAAGTTACATATATGGTAGTGGGTTTCCTTGTCAAGAGGGTTACTTTTACATTTTCTATTGTTTCAACTCCTAACTGGAAGTGTGTATTCTCCGTCTCTCCATTGGTTGCTTATTTACCCTTTCTCGCTCTATTTCTGTGGTTACACTATTTTGTATTTGAACTTATGTGTACCCTGTGCTGTGACACCAGAGGCATCGAAATTACAGAAAACATATTGCATACATCACGACTCTAACTAGAATACTAGAGTGACATTTGTAAGTATTGTTTCTACAGTATCTATAACATAAGTCAATAAGCAATCATCTGTTGAAGCCAGTAGTCAATTGATTCATTTTCTCGACATCTTCTCAGAGCATTTGCTTCCATGAAAACTTTAATTTTTAACACTTATTTTCCATGTTTTTCTCTTCTAATAAAATACGTAGTTGAACTTAAATATAATTTTGGCTAAAAGATCATCACGATGAAAAATAAATGAGCTGTGATATAGTATGCTGTTTTTTCAATATGTTGATCAATGTGAAAACGTGAGGATAACACCTGCGAGTATGTGTTATAACATCATCAATGATTCCTGGTAATGTTGTTAAATAATATTGAAAACTTTAATACATGCAAGTAACAATGCAATGTTTATATTAAACGTTGTAGGTGTGATGTATTATCCAAAGTGTCAACCTTAGTATGAAAGCAAACTTAAACGCATTCAAAATGATACCGAAAGGGGCATTCTAAAAAAAATAACATTTAAGTTTCACAAAGAAATATACACTGTTTATAAAACTGTGTAAACAAAATATAGAATTTATATGACTCAATTCTCATTTGATCAATAATTTATCTGAAAATACGTATTTATGAAAAAGTCATGATTCATTAAAATTCGTTTTCTGGTTAAGACAAAATGGGAAAATACACACATACATATAAATATATTTTCAAATCTCGGGTGATTTAACTACTATGAACCTACCCGTTACGATTCCAAACACTATCGCGTAGATGGCTAAGATAGGAAAGCTGGTGTAGAACGGCACAAAGAATGTTGATAACCCACCAATCAGCAAGGCGCCGTTATTTATAATCAAAGTATTGGCCCAAGATTTGTCCGTCACGTAGCCAATCACAACTCGCGAAACAGTGCTAGATGCACTCATTAATACAATAAGCAGTACTCCCTCTTCACTGGACAGATTGACATCTGTAGCCCATGCCGGCAAGAAATTATATGGTATGAAAAAACCTGTATAAAGAAGACATTGTCAATATTTAATACGATTTGTATTACTAAAGATTATTCCGATTTCTATATGGAAAACTTAACATCGGCATGAAAAAACCTAAGACAATTATTCATGTAATAATCGGTGTTTCTATATTAATGACATACCTCGTGATTAAATATGAAATCACGGTGACATTGTACAAGGTGTACTTGCCAAATTATGCGTTATTTTAATTACAATTCAAGTCGTATGCATTTCCCTATTGCCAAAATGTGTCACTACCAGGATTACAGCATATGCGCCGTAGAAAGAATTTGTATTGCACAACTTCTGTACGCCTTTGCTCTAAGCATGCTCTTTTGACTTTTTTTTTTTACTTCATCATATTATAAGAAACATTATTTTTAAGTTATGACATTCAGTTTGACCTGATGACCTCGACCTGTAGTAAGATGACTTTTCATTCGACTTTGCTTCACATGCTACAACAAAATTGAAATATTCAAAAGTTTACTTTGATCTTGGACTTTGTGACTTAGATTTGTTGTCAAGCAAATTATCGCTTAAATCTTACCAAACTTTGCTTGATGAAAAAATATTTCTCAGTAATATATCAATATTTTATTTTTAGTAACTTTGACATTCGACCTTTTGACTTCAAAAGCAATCCCAATCAAGTTATCCTGATTAAAAAAGCATTGTTTGAGATTTGATTTTGATCGGTCCAAAGGGAACTCTATTTAGAGTGACAACGGCCTGGACATTTAACTGTTTGAGCCCAAACATTATTACGTGTCTGATATATATAGCTAAATGACGATTGGATCAAACGCACATGAAAAACCATCCTCCCCCTCCTCAACCGCTCTCTCTCTCCAGATGTCAAGTCAGCAAAAAGCGGACGGGATTGTTCAATGTTAAAAACATGCAAATCGAATCACAATTAGTATCTGAAAGTACCGTAAGATCATATATATATAAGTAAAGAACGCTTACCGAACATGACAAGTATACATGACGATCCATACATCAACATGGTTGGACTTTTAAGAAGTGAAAAGTCAAACATCTCTTTGGTTGGTAAACAGTTGTGGTCACCGCAACAAAGGTAAGAATTACTTTTGTTTAAACTACTTTGCTGGTCGTTATCAGTTTGAACGTTTTGGATTTTTTTATTATTCGGATCAAATCCAACTTTCATTGGTTTGAATGTTGCAGAAAACACAGCACTGTTTAGAGTTATCGCAGACATAATCCACATGGTCCCCCTCCAAGCATATTTTTCCAAAAGAAATTCGTTCACAGGTGCAAATATTAATCCTCCCAGTCCAGCTCCACAAACGGCAATCCCTGTTGCTAATGCTCTTCGTTTGTCGAAATATTCACCAATTATCACTATTGGTGGAACATAGAGGAAGCCGAAGCCAACACCTATTCGTATATCCAAAGAAAGAAATTCAATGGAAATGTAATTAATGAGAGGAAAAATTGGTTTTAGTTAAAGTTATGCTTATCTTATTTCTTATCTTAATAGTAAAACGTGCAATATTATTGTTTTTTGTTTATATATTCTAATTCATTTCCTTTGCAGTACTTTCTCATATCATATATCCATACTCGGAATGCAGCAATATTAAAGGGCAACACACTTCCACATTTATGCTCGTGTCATTACTTTTTGGTGTATATCTGAGTCATTTACGGCAAACTTCCATAACAGACAACAAAGAAATATGAAAACACACATACACTTGTGTATGTCGTACCCTGCTAAGTAATTTGAAGAATCTTTACGGTTGCCTGAAGTCTTGTTTTTAACTTATTATGTTTTATACAAATCATAAATATTAAAGTGGTTGTCTCTAAATGATAAATTATTTCTTGGTTACCCATAGCTTTGATTAATGAAAGCCCAATTTTTTACCGTTGTCTTTAACAAATAAGATAATATTTGGCACATGTACCTCCAAGAATGCCGTAAAAGATTATCATCACGTCCAGGTTTGGTGAAAATGAAGAAAGGAATACTCCAATGCTGGCGATTACTGTTCCACACCTAGATACCAAGCGACAGCCATACCTGTTCACCAATGCACTAACGAACGGACCTAGAGTGTAAGTACAATTATGTGTTTAATTCACAATAATTAATGACATAAGACTATAGATCGATCTAACCATCATTCCTATAGTAAACAATTTATATAGATATCGTTTATCTCTCCTGTTATTTTCTTAACCTTTCAAAAATGGAATCAACTTTCAGATGAATGTAACATAGAAGCGTATAGTGACCACACAAATGCATTTGATAACACAAGACTGGTTGTTCATTGTTTATTAAGAGTCCTAGTACATAACCATCCTAGATGTTTCTCCCGCTCTCTAACTTGGGCCCATACATTACCCCGCTCTCCTCTCTGCTCAGTGTCCCGGTTTCAACTCTCCCTCGGACTCTCTCGCAATCCCTAATATCCCCTATACTTAGGTTTTACAACTTTCCTACCATCACGCCCATTGTGCATATAATCAGAAGGGCACGTGCGACTAGGAGCACCTGTTATCAATTCCACACCATTTTGATCTACCTTGTACATAGCTTCTTATCTTGTTTACTTACCTACATGTTCGAGAGCGCGAGACATACAAATGAGAGCATCTATCTGTCCTGATCAATCATACTGGCGATATTCTGCCACAGTGCTTCAACAATGGGGTACACACCCAGCCCGTTATCAGGCGTTCATCACTACCTATCACTCACGGGATTTTTACCTCCGTCCAGCATTGACTGACTTTTGACCTGATGTACTTTAAACTAAGATGCTGCTCTCTACGATACACACCATTCCAAAGTTACCGTTAAACCCATTTTTTACTCATTTTGTTGCATGAATCACTTGTTTTAGATGAATTTTAGATTAATTTATGTATTTTCAGTATGATACTTCTCGCAATGTGCAACAAACTCAAAGAGCAGGGGGTGTTCCTGTCAAAGTTAATACGAGGGAAACCGACATGTCCTCGAAACACGCGGAGGAGAGAATTCGCCCATTTCACAAAACTAATCCGCCATTGAAGGATTGTAGAACGTTTAGGAGCAAGCCCTTGGGAAATCGTACGAAAATTCTAAAAGGCAGCGGCATTTGTTTTAGATGTTGTGATTCGGTGGAACATTGTGCGAGAAACTGTATGATTGTCCTTAAGTGCAAGTCATTTGGAAGTGACAAACATTGTAATTTCCAGCGACACTGAGCGCTCTGAACCTCGACATAGTTACGATGGGGAGAAAATAGCACCGGAGACCATTTCCACAAGATGCACGGAGATTTGTGGCGACAACTATGGGGGCAAATCGTGTGCCAAAACCCTGCTCCTGCGAGTCTATCCGGAAGATCGACCTGAAAGATCAATCAAGCTTTATACCCTGATTGACGACCAAAGCAATAAGAAGCTGGCCCATAGTGAGTTCTTCGTTCTCATGAACATTAAGCCGAAGGCAGAGGAGTATACATTGTTATCATGTTCGGGTATGGTTCATACGTAAGAGATAAGATCAATTGGTTACTTAGTAAAATCACTAGATGGCAGTGTGACTATGAATCTACCGTCCGTTATCGAATGTGATGAATGATCACCTTAGCGATTTGATATCGTTCTTTCCACCATTAGATCATGATTCATCTATCATTTTCCTTATTGGTCGCGATCTTATCGAGTCACATCATGTGCTGGAACAGCGCATTGGACAGAGTTCGTCGTACGTCAAGAAATTAGCCTTAGGATGTGTTCTTATTGGAGAGAACAAAGGTCACATCCCTGACCTCATCAATGTCAACAAAATGTACACACTTAGCAATGGCAGGTGTTCCTTGCTACAACCTTGTACCAACATTTTCAGTATTAAGGAGGTCATGGTGGTAAAGTAATCACCATGTGAGAATGCAAAGACCGGCAGGTCATTGTTCGAAAGGAGGTCAAGCGACGGCAAACCAGGATTATCTTTGGAAGATAAAGAATTCCTGAAGTTAATGGTGGAGGGGGTCCGGAAGGGTAAAAATGGTGAATGGATTGCTCCTTAACAAAAGTTTGCGAAAGGATGCATTGAAACAAGATCACTTCTTCTCTTTCATGCAAGCGATCTTAGATAACTAGCATGCTGAAGCAGCTCCACTATTAGCTGAGGGAGAAGAATGCTGGTGTCTACCGACGATGTCTCACCCAATGATGCTCTACTCACCGGTCCAGAATTGACAACAACTTTATTGGGGTTCTTCTCAGGTTTCGTAAGGACAAAGTGGCGGTTACCGCAGATATTCGACAAATGTTTTTTTGCGAATTCGTGGTCAGCGAGGAACATAGGAACTTCCTTAGGTTCTTTTGGCATCAGAAGAGCAATCCCAACGAGGCACTAGAAGAATTCCATATGCGAGTTCATGTCTTTGGGAACTCACCTTCTCCAGCGGTAGCCACATGTGAATTGAGGAAGTCCGTAGAAAACTTTAGGGAATCTGACGAGGATGTTGTTTATTTCGTTAACCGAAACTTTTATGTCAATGACGCCCTCGCGTCGCTTCCCACAAAAGATGAAGCCGTGTACTTGATGAAAAGAACCAAAGAGGCACTTCGCGCAGAAGGCAATCTACGATTGCACAAGATCGCGTCGAACTATCAGGAAGTCGTACAGGCCTTTCCTTCCGAAGATAGTCTCGGCCTGAGCATGGAGGATATACCCTTTCAACGTAGTCTCGGGCTGTCATGGCGCCTACAATCATACACCTTCACATTTGAAGTGAATCCTTGGAATTGTTGCCTCTGTGGTCTTGCAAGGAAGATTGTTGTACAGGGAATTTGTCGACATGACAACGGACTTGGACAACCCACTGCCCTTCGAGCACGAGAAACGCTGGCGTATGTGATGCGAGTCCTTACAGGATCTGGCTCAGCTGAAAGTTCCGCAATATACACTTCTGTATTTTGCGGACGCCTCAGAATCAGCCATTGCTGGTGTCGCTTACGTCAAGTTCACCTCTGTTACGGGAGACTACAAGTCAGGAATTCTTCCTTCTGGGTAAAGCCAAACTTGCACCGAAACATGGCAACATTATGCAACGGCTAGAGTTGTGTGCTGCTGCTCTGGCTTCAGAAATTGGAGAAACGCTCATAGATCAACTAGATCTTCGGGTTGATTACATTAAATTTCACACCGACACTAAGTTGCTCTGGGTTTCCTGTACAATTGAAAAAGACGTTTCTACACCTATGTGGCCAACCGGGTTGATAGGATTTTGAGCAATACAACTGCGGAACAGTGGACATACGTGCAATCTGAAAATAACTCTGCTGATATTGGAACTACAGTTATCCTTGCCAAGGACTTGCAAGACTCTACATGACTGCTTGGTCTACGTCCACCGTTGGAGGACACTAAAGATGAGAGTTTTCTTCTTATTAACCCCGACCTGGATGCGGAAATAAGGCCGCAAGTTTCCGCTCTCAAAGAAGTAACAGGTTTGAGAAATTTTCTTCTAGGAGAAGTTTAGTCTCATCGTTCTCTGTGTTGCGCATTGCTGTCCGTCAGAAGCCATGTCGTGTTCCTAGCGATTTCAAAACTCCGACTATATTCCGTTCCACTGAGTTATTCATAGTCAAAGAGGTACAACGGGAGGCTTTCCTCAAGGAAATCTCACTTCTGGCTCGGAAGGAACCGTTGTCTAGAAACAGCACCTTGGCTTCAATCCCTTTCTGGAGAAAGAGGGAATTCTTCGTGTGGAAGGTAGATTAAGAGCGGCCTGTCTCGATGACAGCCAGAAACATCCGTTACTCATCCCTAAACGTCGCCATGTAGGGACCTTGTTAATCCGACACTTTCACGAAGAAACATCAAGGTCGTCACCTAACAGAGGGAACGATACAGAAAGTAGGCTTCTGGATCATAGGCGGAAAAAGACATGTATCATCAATCGTACACCAGTGTGTAACTTGCCGCCGATTGAAAGGAAAGCTTCAAAATTAATTGTTGGCAGATCTCTTCAACCGGCACATCCGTTCTCCTACACCTTTTGGGCACTGGAATTGTAAGTCGTCGTACCAGAGGAGGATGTGCTCATAGCGAAAGATGGGCAATTATTTTTCTTGTTTGTCTACGCGCGCAGTCCATGTGGAAGCAGTTGAAAATATGACCTCATCTTCTTTTGACAGCGCCTTGCGTAGATTCATGGTTTTCCTCGGGAAGGTCATCGAGTTTCGCTCAGATAGGGGCACAAACATTGTTGGGGCAACCGATGATTTGGAAATCGATACCATTAGTGTTGAGGACCGTACACGCAAGCGCTTCTTGTTCAACAATCGAACAGTCTGGGTGTTCAATCCATCCCATTCATCTCACAATGGAGGATCCTAGGAGAGGATGATAGGATTAGCCCGCAAGATTAGGTCTATCAGAATAAATTTGAAACCATTGGTCGTATTCAAGACTAATTTGTATGCTGATGGCCTGGGGTTTAAACTTACAGCTAAGTGTCTGCACAAAGACAGTATAGATACTACAGGTCGATGCCCAGCTGACATCGGTACTAACAGGTGTACCAAGAATGATGCTGTCGGGTTCATGTTGTTATAATATATAATGTTCTATACGCAAAGTACCATGGTATTTAATGGCGAAATAATGGTGCCCAGTTTGCATCTTATCTATTCAGACTGACAACATCAATCAGATGAAGATTTCCTTCATTAGGTATTCAATTGGGAATAAAAATACCTTGAATTTGTGCTTTGCTCTATTTTATCGGAAAATTTTTCTTTAGTGGTCACCACCTTTAGTGATTTCAAATTTATAGCAGATATAGTATCGTTATTCTGTTCTCTAGGTTGCATGTATGTGAACAGGGATTAAGCTGTGGTTAATTCAAAACAGATCGATTGAATTTTGTATATATTTTATGTGCCGAAATTGTGTACAAGATAAAATACATTCCTAACAAAAAGCTCACCAACACATGATAATGTTCCGACCATTATGGAGCTTAGCATCTGTGTCTTCGCTTTACTTTCTCCAAAATATCTGAGGAATTCCGGGAAAAAGATTCCGAATGTAACACACACTCCATCGATCAAAACGTTGGTCATGAACGATGAGAATGCGACCGCCCATCCCCATCCACCATCAACGCTGTTGGTTTTCATATCTGTACCAACTGCAACGTCAGACAGATAGCTTCTCGTTTCAAATTCACTTAAAAATCAAAAACAGAATACCAGCATGTCAAGATAATCATAAACCATACTCAAATTCAATTAAAATGAAACAAAAAATGTTTAAAAAAAACTTATTGGTCAGTTATCATTGAAATGAAAGACGGAGTTTAAAAAAAATATATGATATTGCGATCAAATGTGGGTTAACAACAGCGGCTTATACCTGTATTTAAAATTATAGACGATAAGGTAACGCTTTACAATACTGAGTGTAGAAATCCAAGAATCACACATGGTCAGCTTTGGTCATCAGGGTCATTGGAACTGCCGATCTGGTAATTAGTTAACCATCATAAGACCAACAAAATGCCGTTTTGGATCATTATTGTGGATATTTAAAAAGTCACCATACCAATTGTAAATATATATTCATGGTGTTATGAAAATACTTGTCGGAAAAATAATGATATAGGATAAAAACACATATGATTTTCTGTTTACAAACGTTTACAACCTAATTTACCGTATATTGTCTTTCAGAGAAATGGATCAATTTCAAATAAGATCGTGAAGGTGTTCACAACTTTAACACCTTCTTGTCCTCATCAACCTGGGTTCTGAGTTTATTTGTCAACTGTTTTATATTTCAGTATTGAGTAGTTATTTAAGATCATCTTACCCTCGTAAACTTTCATATAAACCATCAGATTGGGACGAAGCATTTGAATATCATCTGCGACATGTTAACATAATGAAATGTTTATCACTTTTTGCATTGAATACTTTCCCGAAAACAATTCGATACTATGCATTATTCAACCCGCAAATTAAAATCCACAGTTTCGAAAATCAGCTTGCTAGAAGTAACAAAGAAAGACAAACACTTTCCTATCAATTCCTCTGTAATTTATGCATTTCAGTTACCTAAAGTCCTTCAACAACCTCATGGATCCGACACAGTTAAGTATTCGTATAAAAATCCCAATCACATATCGGGAATTACTTTGCGTGTGTCTATAATGTGTGAATTAAGCGACTCTTTCAAAATCGTAATAATCAAAGAAGTCATTTTTTAATAATTTTTTTTTTGTGTGTGTGTAAATGGCCTTAGCGACGAAAACAACTGATAAGAGTACATCTTGACTAAATTATATGATCTGACCACACGGGGACATTTTGTGTACGCTATCAGTTAAATCTCAATGTTCCTGCATTTGCCGCCATTTTGTTTGAATCATTATTGAAAATACCAATCATTTATCGTCTATTTTTCCCTGAAGTAGCAAGTTACATACCGGATTATTCATAGGCTAGTTGCTGATGTATTGTGGAGCAAGCAGTAACCTACGGTGCCATACACATAGTTTTAAACAAGATACACCAGAAACTTATCCACTACTTTTTCTGGAGACACAAGTACGTACCCGGGTTATTGATAGGCCAACTGCTTACGTACTGTGGAGCAAACAGTCGATAAAATCACGGTGCCGTAAATGGAAAGTTCTCGATCTTATCAACAATGTTAACTAACCGCTGGTGTAATGAAATATAACGAACCTAAAACAGGTAAATTCTGCATCACTCAAACCAAACTGTTTCATCTATGAATTTAGTTTCCAATCGATATCAGCAGAATCTGTGTTCAGCAGTATATGCATATCGATGATATTGTATCTGTATCATAATAATGACCCAAGAGGGATCTTGGCACCCACCTTTGTTTGATCTTTGAAAGTTGGATCTTTTCCCCTCTTTTTTCTTCTCTTAATGATGAGACATTTGAACATTCCTTTTGCAGAAATAAATGAAAATCTTTACCTGCCAAATTCAAAATGGCCGCCTGGAAGCCATTTTGTTTCTTCTGATCAGTCTTAAAGGAAACGAGCACAAGGAGAGAACAAAGGGAACATACGTATGAATTTTGAGAGATACCCATTCAGTGCTTCTCAAGATATAGCAATAAAACTTTCAAAGTTAAAATACAAAATGGCCGCCTGTCAACCACTTTGATTTTTTGATCAGACCCAAAATGAAATGGGCACAACCAGGGACCAACGGAACCTACACATGAAATTTAAGAAAAATCCATCAAGTACATCTAAAGAAATAGCGATAACAATCTCTCAGTCAAAATCCAAGATGGCAGCCTGGAAGTCATTCTGTTTTTTCCACCAGTCCCAAAATTACAAGAGCGCAATTAGAGACCAGGCGGAACCTACATGTGAAATTTGAGAAAGATCAACTATATATTTCTCAAGAAATAGTGATAATAAAACTTTCAAAGTTAAAATACAAGATGGCCGCCTATCAGTCATTTTATTTGTCAGTCCAAAAATTACAATGGCACAACTAGAGACATGGGGGAACCTACATATGAAATTTGAGATAGATCAATTAAGTACTTCCCAAGGAATAGCGTTAACAAACTTTCAAAGTTAAAATACAAGATGGCCACCTGTCAGCCATTTTGGGTTTTTCATCAGACTCAAAATCAAATGAGCACAACTATGGACCAAGGGGAACCTACACATGGAATTTAAGAAAAAAAATCCATCTAGTACTTCTGAACAAATAAAGATAACAAACTTTCAAAGTCAAAATTCAAGATGGGTGCCTTTCGGCCATTGTGATTTTTTTATCAGTCCCAAAATAACAAGGGCACAACAAGAGACCAGGGGGAAATAGCGATAACAAACTTCTTTGAAAAATCCAAGTTGGCTGCCTGTCGGCCATTTTGAGGTTTTTTCACATCAGGCCCAAAATTAAATCGACACAACTAGGGACCAAGGAAAACCTACATATGCAATTTGAGAAAGATCCATCCAGTACCTCTCAAGAAATAGCGATAAAAAATTGTTTAATGCCACACCGACAGACCATGGACGCAGAGCGATTTGAATAGGCCATCATCTGATGATGATGGGCTAAAAAAGCAGTAAGATTTGCAAATTTGTATGTTTTCTTCTTTACATTATAAATGAATTAGTAATACATCTAAAAGGTGTTGAACATGCCTCTGAACACAAGTCCACAGTTTCTCCCGATACTGCCAATTCAGCATCCTTCTCAACCAAGGTGTTTGACTCACTAGCCGAAGTAAATTGTGATTAGTGTTGTACCGCTGTCCAGCAACAATGTATATAAGATCACTTAAAAACGAGTATTCATGATTTCTTTATTATTACCGAATTCCCAATGTTAATTAATGAATGTCTGAATATGTTAACATAGAATATGACATTGTTATATTATATATGTTAACATGATACATAAGTATACAATGATGCATAGATACATGTATGTGCATGTATTAAGTAATGATTACTAGATCTTTGATATAAATATCTAAGTATTAGAATCAAACTGACACATGTGTACTCATTGTATTATAAATGTACATGTAAGTTACGGTTGTGTATCCTGTGTACAATATTCAAATAAAAATAATTTCTCTTTGTACATTACCATAGTTTTCTTTTATTATCGCAACAACAGCATATGTTGTGTTGCCAAGATAAAACTCCTATCATAAAAATAATTTGAGTACAAAGGAGCGAGTCCAACATGGTACATGGTAGTTCTTCCGTATACTGGATATTTATTGCGGAGCATTGTTAACATGTTTCGGCTCTAGGTGAGCTGTCATCAGAACAACAGCTCTAGGCAGTGTATTGTGACGTCATGGATACAAGTGTAAGCAAGCAAGTGACGTCATAATTCAACAATTACACTGAACAATGGGTAAACAATATATACAGCGGATATAATAGACATTATATGAAGTTGATATGAAGTGCAGAGTAATTGCATAATGAGTGATAATATTTAATGTTTTAGGTTATTAATAAGGTTATAATCATAATAGGTCTCAGGTAAAGTTTATAGTGCAGGTGATACACCAAGAAAATTGTAATTGATTGTTAATCATGTTTGACTATGTTCCTGATTGTAAAAACAAGAAAGAACAAGTAACTTTACAAACTAAAGTTTAACAATATCCAGCTGGGAAAGAATCAATCATGGTATTTAACTCTTAGGGACATTGTGCCTCCATCCCCGTAGTGATTATAAAAATAATTTGTTTATATTTTGTCTCCTCCTACACACAGCTTTTAATGATTAATTTTGGGTAATTGTGTTATACATAATTGTATATTTTTCTGAACATCAATTGTGTTATGATATTCTCACAGACAAGAATGTTTACCTGGCATACCCAATAATTTGGTGTGACTGTTGACACACACAAATGTGAACATGTACTAGTGTCACATATTTGCACATTAGAATGTATTTCAATAACAACAGTAATTTGATTGGGACAAAGAAAGGGGAAAAAGTCACTAATCTCTTACTAAAATGAACAACATGCTAGGACATACAATTTATCACCGATTCTTATTTGCATGTAAATTTAACACAAAAGTTTTTTCACTTACTGTCCATCACATCAGATAATATAGATGTGATATGTATAAACACCTGTTTCTCCTCTAGTCCTGTCCACTGTAAATATGGCGTGTCTTTACTTTACTAACCCAACCACTACAAACTATGTGTAATATTCACAGTTTTATATCAGTTCGAAAGTTATGTATGTACATGTGTTTCTCCTCTAGTCCTGTAAATGCCTGCCTCTGTTGCTACAGTACAATCTTTTATATCATTTTTTTCTATCAAAGCATTGTGACAGTTATACTTTAACTTCCCCTGTTCACGATACCATTCATTCATTCCAGTGCATATCCTCACAGAGAATGACTAAATGTAGGCAAACCGGAAATGGTCATAGGGGCCTGACAAATCAGTGCAGATAAAACTTCTTTTGTAATTTATTTGTTTATGACAATTCCATTACTGATCTGTACGATATAAATTACAGTAAAATAAGATGACAAATTGCCATACATTGAATTTATTTCATTTCTATGCTGCATTTTCTTACTTATCTTTTAATATACCAACTACGTTAGTCAATGACCTGTGTTTTCCAAGCGTTACCAGCACTCTGATGAGTCAATAAAGTACTACTGACAAAAAGACATGTTTTTGTGCAAACTGTAATAATCTGTGTGTGAAAGTTGTAACCATGTGTATTTGTTTACAACACTGTTTCTACTACATCCATGCTCAGCCATTCTTTTTTTCATTATTTTATTTTTCAAAAGATTTTCAACATGTTGTATTGATAAATACATGTACCATACATACACCCTTACACACACCATCCAAACACTCACTATGATAATCCTCAGCAACATAGAACATCATCAACATCGTCATCATCATCATCATCCAACCTTACCATCATCACCCAACCTTACCATCATCATCATCATCACCATCATCATCATCGTCATCATCCAACCTTACCATCATCATCATCATCATCCATCTCTGCGTTATAGTTCATACACTCACCTCCACATTCATACACAATAAAACAAAACAAAAACAAATGACAAAAAATACATTCAAACACAAACATGAGACAACTATGCATACAAAAAGTCAAGAAAATTGAAAAATAAGAGAAAGGCAAGAACAGAGTAAAAAGGCAAGATATGAAAGATGAAAGGAGAGAGAGGGGGGAGGGGAGAAATGCTGGGCTAGATATTTTAAGCAATTTTTGACAGGAATAGGGTCTCATGGAATAATAGACAATAATGAAAACACTGTACTGATTCAGTAACCTAAAGAAAAACTTGCTGTATGATCAATTAGATAAACAAATTCAAACCTGATCTGATATAATTGTAATACAAAGTTCAGAAAGAATCACAAATCAAACAAGTTTTTTCCAATTTTTCCATTCAGTCTCAAATTTCTGTTTAAAATTTCCCCTTGTGAATATTTGCAATGTGTTTTTGGCACACATAATAATCTTCAATTGAATTAATAAAAGCAGCAGGATTTAAGATTTTATATTAACTTCTTGTTTGTAAAATTTAATCATAATTACAATGACATTATCTGTCTTACTTCCTGTTACACTCTCATTGTTCACAAATATACCAAAAATAAAACTTTGTTTAAAGAAAATGGGATCAAGAGAGCATCAAAAAGTGTTTCTAAACTTCACAAAAATTGGTGGGTTTCATGGCACTCCCAGAAAACATTGTTTCCCATTCTGAATTGCAGAGATTACAATATATACTATTAACTGAACCTATTCTAAACAAAAAATGTAGTTGTTGTTAGAATGTGTTGTATTATCCTATACTGAAACCCCTGTAATTTTGTATTTCTTCAACCCAATTCAATTATTCATCTTCAAAAGTCTTTTCCCATTTACTTCTACCTGTAGAAACAATAGCTATTTTTACAAAAAGATTATACAGGTCCTTACATCTGTTGGTTCCTTTTTATGAAAAATATAACATTAGTTGAAATAAATGGAACGACAACTAACTGTTGACTAAAGCAAATATCGGCTTTCTGCAAACATAATTTAATTGCAGAAATTACACCGCAATATTCAAGAAAATTTGTGTTAACTTCATAAATCCCACTAAACACTTGAAAGGAATAAAAGGTCAGAGAGCTATAATCTATAACCAAGTCATTAACAAAACTTACCCCCCTGTTATACGAGGCCTTGTAGAAAATTACCTTTTTTTCAATAGTGAAATTTCTATTGTACCAATGTAGCATTTTCAAAACATACTTTTCACTTATTTTCTGTACTTCTTCAGAATTATTAAACTTTATCTGTGCTTTAAATACAACTTTCCTAAATTTGTTTTTATAATCATTCTCACAATCTTGAAGAAATCCTGTCCCACATGTAGATGATTTATGCATGTCACAGAATGTTTTGAAAATGAGTTGTCACTTGGATGATTTCTGATAGCACCTTTGTATCCAACTCAGTTTTAGCCAATCAATAAACAGCCTTACATTACTGATGGTAACCATTTTCAGACCTCCTTCATAATAATTCTGAGTTGTGATATCCCTTTTGATTTTGTCAACCTTTCCATTCCACAAAAAATTGTAAAGAATTAAGATGAGATTTTGCAGGAAATGTTTATCTGGATTAGATATAGAAATAAATAAATAGTTAAATTGTAATAGCAGGAGAGATTTTATTTGATCAATGTTAAGATAGTTTTGCAAATTTATTCAGCTCAACAACAGATTCCTTCAATGAAAATTCCGAGCCATCTAGTATTAAACAGGTGTCATCTGCATATTGTGTACTGAAAATAGGACAGTTACTCACTTCTATACCCTTAATCTTATCATTATTTCTAATTCTGATTCCCAGAACTTCAAACACAAAGGAGAAAGATGTATGGGGTAATTGGGTCACTTTTGACAACAGCCTTGTTTAATATCTACAAAAGGCGACAGGTTTCCTCCTTGGTTAATAGCAACTGAAGCATTAGTATGTAATAACTTAACCCACTTTCGAATATCTTGACCAAAATTAAAATAATCAAAAACTTTATCCACAAATTTCCACAAAACAGAATTGAAAACTTTCTCAAAGTTCAGCAAACTGCATTACATCATATACAAGCCTAGTGTTTTCCCCGTTATACCGACCTGAAAGAAACCCTGTGAGATCTTCACTTATTAACTTATCAAGAACAGTTTTAATTCTACCTGCTATACATCCTGAAGCGATTTTATAGATAATATATGATATTGTTTAAAGGTTTATCTCCCTTTGGAATGCATGTGATGACACCTTGTCTTTGAGTTACAGAAAGTAAACCATTTACAACCATCAGTGCCAGGACTTTTATTGTTCTTCATATGTTTTAGTGTTCTAGCTGCCTCGCCTAGTGTCATTATTCCTTCTAGTTTTCTGTCTAAGTTTTGTCTAATTTTGGAACCTCAAATGTGTCTAAAAATTCTGATAAGTCTATATTTTCTATCGCTGTACTATTGTTGTCATATCATAATAACTACAAATTTCATCCTGAATTTCATGTTGTTGTGTTATAATACTATTTCCTTTTTTTGGTAGGATCTAGGAAAACCAAATTTCACTTTTCTAAATTAATGAAATATTTGGTTGTTTTTTCCCCTCCTCTTGCCATTTTGCTATGGACCTAATTACACTACCTTTAACTTTGCTAACTCTCATGTTTTCTAATTCCTTTTTCCAAGTTTCTAATTCTAAAATCTACCTGCTCTCTTTCTTCCATGTCTTGTATACTTTTCTTTAAAATATCTTCATAAAAAAATTACAGTTTCTTTTTATATGATGAATAGGATAGTGTTTCCCCCTTACTTCCATTAATAAAGTTTCAAGGAAAAGCTGATCGTCAATAATGAATTTAATAACTGTATCTGGATTCATCTATTGTATCCCTGTAGTATACTGGAAGACAATACTGACTTCTATCTGAAATAACTTTTATAACCAAATCTAGATAGTTTTCATCACAAAGTAGTGACAAATTAAATTCCCAGTCCTTTTCCTCTTCTAAACTAGTTAAATCTTAAATTAAAGATAGGAAATGAGTGGTCTGATCTCTACTTTGGATCTATTTCTGAGCTGTTTACACTTGATAATGAATTGTCAGAAGCAGAGACGTATATAACACACGTCTCTGTCAGAAGTAAAAAATAAATATAATGTAAGCTGCTTCGATGGGCTCTTTTTTCTCCAAGTATATCTTGTAATATTAAGGGTGTAGTTCCCTATGTGTATCAAACATGACTGTCAATGATTTCCAAAACTTTTCCCCTTGCTTTCTGATTATTGACATGTTTATAATTCTTGTCATAGTTTAGCTAAAACTAAATTAAAATCACCACATATAATAACCAAAATCATCAATGGTGTCAACTAAATTATCAAAAAAAAAAAAGTGCTGTCACCATTTGGACTGTACATTGGAATAAGTGTTAATTTTGCATCTTCTATAAATATATCATAAGCCAAGAAATTCCCTCTCAAGTCTTTCTTTTCTTTGTAAACCTTCATTCCACAATTATTACTCAACAGCAACTCCTCTACAATTAGATTTAAAATAACTCTCCAATCCCCATTCACTTCTACTAAATTTCTGGTTTTCCTCAATAAAGTGTGTGTCTTGCAAACAATAAATGTGACATCTCATAAATTCGAGGCATGAAAAAAAACCTTCACTTTTTGTGATATCTCCTAAAGCTTGGCAATTAGCAAACAGAATAGATACCCTTTTCCATCAGTTCACGTTATATCCCCGATTGACAAATACACATAAACAAGCCAATCATTATAAAAACAGTTAGGAAATGAAATGAAAAGAGAGAAACTAAGTTAAAAATCATGAATAAACGGCCAAAAACAAATACAACCGTCTACTCACACACACATTTCTTCACTGGCGTCAACAGTAATTTCTGCAAGGCTAAAGTAGACGATAATCTCATTGCGCGTCAGCTTAACTTAAGTTTCTGCACAGGAGTCAAGCTGGCCCGCAATAACTTTATTAATACTTCCGGTTCTCTTATCGGATATTCTTGTCTAGTATCAAGCATAAAGTTCTACTTGTAATAATTCGTGTCCGTTGAGCAATTAGCTGAGACCAAATGCAAATGGAGAGGTGAGGTATTTCAGACATGAGGGAATGTCAACCTCCGAGAAGTTCACCAACCACGTTTTCAGCCGAATCATTCCCTTCAAGATGTATAAAATCTAAACGCGACATAAACCTGAAAAGCTGGTTAAGCCACGTTGCAGGTCCTTCGCCTTGACACCATCCTTCCTTATAAACTTCGTCACAGTGGTGCCATAGGCGAATTCATCCTGCACCATGCGGGCAATGTGGCTGGATCCCTCCATGGCGATACGGTTAAGTTTCTTCTTCGGGTGGATATTCGATTCTCCACCAGAAAAAGAAACTTTTGTGTCACCTTCGTCACCAAAACACATGGTCAACTTCATTTTTTTCAGAGGATATAAAGAATCAATTAGATTAAACTTAGTATATATTATATATGGAACTTAACCTATAGGGTATTGCGACTGCTTCAGTGCTCTCTGGTTTCAAAACCACGCGGTGAGACTAACTTCCGGTAATTTCTTCAAGACTAAATTAGTCATAGTTAATTTGCATTTTTCTTGAAATTACTGGTCATATTAGAGATACACATGTATAGAAGTCTGGTTATGAAAACTACATCCTTACTTGTATACTTATTTATAGACTACATAACAATGACATTAATAGTAGAGAGGTAAAATTTGTGTAAATAAAAAAAATTCTTCTGATTTCTGACATGTGATTGCCATGGTTACCGACTTAAGTTAAGTTAAGTTAAGTTTATTTCTGGTACAGGCTCGATTTTTCGACCCTCTACACCAGACTCCAACCATAATACATATATATACATGTATACACAAATATATACATTTGAATACAATGTTCATAAATATGTGTTTCCACATCTCATCAATAAATGTTAGTTAGATTATCATAATTGTTATATTGCGTTTGTTTTATCGGTTCCAAGTACAATGAAGCAACATTTTTTTTTTTTTTTTTTCCTAAATAATTGAAGCTTTATAATTATAAACAAGTTCTTGAGAAGCCCAATGTTTATCCAGTCTATTTTTAAAAGTGTTAATATTTGGTGCTGATACTATATTCTCAGGTAAATTGTTCCATACATTGACCACTCGTTGGGAGAAGAAGTTCTTTCTAACGTTTGTTCTGGATCTCTCTGGGAATATCTTTCTAGAGTTTCCTCTGCTGCTGTTTTTCGCTGCTGCGCTGTTCCATGGTTTTAAGATGCTGTTGGTATCCTGATCATATATTCCGCTAATAATCTTGTAAGCCTCGATCATATCTCCTCTTATGCGTCGATATGCAAGCGTTGGAAGGTTTAATTTAACTAGCCTTTCCGACTTAAAAATGCAAAAAATACTGTTAATTCCAAACTAACACTACAACTTTAGAGAAGAAATTTATTTCTGACCATTTGTTTTAAAAGCAGCAGCACTGTCGTTTCTACTTACATTTCAGCTAATTCCAACTCGGAAATCTTTCACAACATGACCACGTGTAAACACTGTGAAACTTTCACTTCCCGTAATTGGCGTAAAGCCACTAAAGGTAGTTTTTACTGTGGAGACACCAATTCCAAACTGCCAAAAATAGTTAACTCTAACATAAAGCCAAAATATTATTCTGACACAGATACAGCCCTACATTGCCAACTTAAACATGACAATACCAATTTCAGCTAGGATTATTACACGTATGAGATATTCGGGTATCGTGTACTGCTACCCATGCGGGCGAGCGGAAATAAGTAAACCAGAAGTAGTATACTAATAATGTAAAACTGACCTAATATTTTCCGGATTTTTTTTTTATATATATAAATATTATACGAAATAGGTACTGACTAAAGCGAGCGGAAGTTGGTCAACAAGATGCGCATTTTGAACTGCCTGATCAATGTCTGTACTGAGGCCGTGTTTTTAGCCCACCATCATCAGACGGTAGGGTATTCAAATCGCCCGGCGTCCGTGGTCCGTCCGTCGGTCCAGGCGTCCGTCTTACCGTCCGTAAACAATTCTTGTTACCGCTATTTCTGGGAAAGTACTGGATGGATCTTTCTCAAATTTCATATGCAGTTTCCTCTTGGTCCCTAGTTGTGCATTGTACCTTTTTTGGACTGATTTGAATTCAAGACGGCGGACAGGCAGCCATCTTGGATTTTGTAAGTAAAAGATTGTTACCGCTATATTCTGGGAAAGTACTGCATGGATCTTTCTCAAATTTCATATGCAGGTTCCCCTTGGTCCCTAGTTGTGCATTGTACCTTTTTTGGACTGATTTGAATGCAAGATGGCTGATAGACGGCCATCTTGGATTTTGGAAGTAAAAGTTTGTTATCGCTATTTCTTCGAAAGTACTGGATGGATCTTTCTCAAATTTCATATGCAGGTTCCCCCTGGTCCCTAGTTGTACATTGTACCTTTTTGGACTGATTTGAAATCAGGATGGCTGACAGGCAGCCATCTTGGATTTTGAGAGTAAAATCTTGTTACCGCTATTTCTGAGGAAGTACTGGATGGATACTTCTGATATTTCATAGGTATTGGTTTCCCTTGGTCCCTAGTTGTGCATTGTACTTTTTTAGGACTGATTTGAAATCAAGTTGGCCCACAGGCAGCCATCTTGGATGTCGACAGTAATATAGCACAAGCATATTTTCTTCGATATTCTATCATATTGATTAAAAACTATGTCCATTATCCACCTGTAACTGACTGCTATCTAATAATACTTTGGGATCTTTTTCAAATGATATTTGCTAATAGGTTCTTAATAAAAATAACTTGTGCCATCATTGAGTACATTCAATGAAGACCAGTTCATGAACATTTACAAAACCTGTAACACAAAAAAAATAAAATAAATCTTCAAGAACTGAAAACAGATCCTCAAATGGTTGGCGCCAAGATCCCTCTGGGATCTCTTATTAAAATCTATTTTACATTTCGGAAGAGCTTAACAGAACATCAGCACGTACACATGTAATGCTGAATCAGCATCTTCTTCTTCCTTTAGAAAACAATGTATTATCATGATCAGGCGGTGGTTTTGTGGCGCAGTTGTAACAAACTTGTCTTTCACCTAGCCGTCCGGGGTTCGATATCTCTGAAGGAATACGAGTTTCCTTCCACAGTTAGACCCCTCGAATGCTTATCAGAAATGTGATTTTTATAAGTTGAAATAATCATGCACATACAATCACACAACATGAAGACAGACAAAAAAGAACAAAACAAAAGACGACAAGATAATGCAAAGCGTGACATTATCCCCACCCCTTGCTGTTTAAAAGAAAGATACGTAATCATATATATATATGTCAATATTACAACAAGTTTAATTTCTATTTGTTATTTTTAATTGTTCCATACAAGTATTGAAATGGAGAACTTTTACTAGAGTACTAACTTAATGCATGTACAAAGTAACGGGTAATTACCTTGAACGGTATTAGAGAACTAGTCTGAAAAACTGAACTGTTTGATTTGGCCTATGTATTTCCATGATTACAGAAAAAAGTATTTAAATTGTGAACTTCCCCATAGCAAAAGATACTGCTAGCTTAATAAATGTGGAAGGTTTTGGCCAATTACCTTGATTGGTTTCTGAGCATTGGGCCAGAATCATCTTTGCTTTAAAAAAAGAAATGAGTTTGTAGTCAAAATATGAAGAAAGATAACATAGTTTTAGTCGGATTTGTAAAAGCGGTGTTTATATGTTTAACTAGTTTTCATTATTAAAATCAGAATGTTTTCAACCACCGTTTTCTTCTTTCTTTGCTATTGAGAGGTTTCGTTCTGTTAATAAACAAACCATAAAAATCTTTAGAACCTTTAGTGTGTTAAGCAATTTTGACTTGTCTTGGTAGAAAAAAAGAGGGTAAAGTTGTAAAAACTGCTGAAACTAGTCGGTTTTACATTGCGTTTCATAAAATCAATATTAATTTATATATTTAATTGAATTTATCATGAAAAATTCTTATTAAATTCACCAATATTACATAAACTGCCTTTTCTGGGGAAAAATCATCACTAATAATTATCTCATCATTGTGTCTAATAAGTGTTTGATGGGGAATTTCTAAACATCCAAATACTTGATCATAATTAATTTCAAACAGTTATCGAAAGAACACCCACATCTTGCAGTTTTAATATTGTTAGGCGACGGAACAGGTTTTACGCCAAATCGGGACCTTTCGTCTGCTTCCGTGTAAGAGACGATGTATTTCTCGTCACGGAAAGTGACGATAGTTCTTGAAGGTTAGACCAGAAATGAGGTACATCGGAGAACAAACGTGATCTAATCTTGAATGGTTAAAATGAAAATTTTTCAACGAGATATTTGTTTTGTGCGTTTCAAACAATTAAACTATATGTTTGTTAAATTCATTTGAATTATTTAAGACTTTCAGTATGATTTCATTTCCTAATGAAAACTTAAAAAGATATTTTGTAGATCAAAATTATTTTAACCCATTCAACGGGTCGACTGTTTTCATTGCGTGCCACGGTTACTGTATTGTGGGTATTGAAGTTCCAGTCACATTTCCGTTTAAAGTTGATCGTATGGGCAGCTTGCGTGAGTTGAATTACCACACACAATACCATAAAGCGCTTGCTGCGCTCGCTATGAATTAGGAAAATGAATTTTAAATCCGAAAAGCTTAATAATAGATCATGATAAATTAGCACTCACTTGATTCAGCTATTTAAAATTATAAAGTTGTATTTTTATAGACTTATCATCGTTGTGAAGCAAAAATAAATTAATTTTAAAAAAAAATTTAATAAAAATAAAGGAAATGTACACTTACCGGTTTATATGTTTTCCAGTAAAGATCCCAAATGAATAAAAAAATAAATTTTAAGGAAAAACACATAAAATACTATCACAATACACAGTGTATAACTGGACCGATAAAGCCAGAGACTGTCCTTCCCTGGAGGAAGTGTATGTTTATCTGTTATACGTTGTAAGTTGTCAGTTACCTCCGTTGATTGTGTTGTGTACATTCAGTGTCGATGTAGTCCATACCTGTGTCTGGGTGTAAGGGTGTTTTTTTGTCTGTTATGCGTTGTAAATTGTGAGTTATCTCCCTTGATTGTGTTATGTACAGATAGTGCAGATGTAGTCCATACCTGTGTCTACGAGTAAGGTTGTGAATGAGGGTGTGTGTTTATCTGTTTTAAGTTGTAAGTTACCTCCCTTGATTGTGTTATGTACATATAATTTTTTCCATCGAATGTTTAAATCAAACTATCAATTCTATAGATAAGTAATGTTCTACTACAGTAGTGATCCATGGTGAGAATATCTACAGGCTTTGCCTGTTATTCAATACTTTTGACCATACCATCTGTCAGTAAAATTTGTT